CCGAATTCCGGATAATCCGAATTCCGGATAATCCGAATTCCGGATAATCCGAATTCCGGATAATCGAATTCCGGATAATCCGAATTCCGGATAATCCGAATTCCGGATAATCCGAATTCCGGATAATCCGAATTCCGGATAATCCGAATTCCGGATAATCCGAATTCCGGATAATCCGAATTCCGGATAATCCGAATTCCGGATAATCCGAATTCCGGATAATCCGAATTCCGGATAATCCGAATTCCGGATAATCCGAATTCCGGATAATCCGAATTCCGGATAATCCGAATTCCGGATAATCCGAATTCCGGATAATCCGAATTCCGGATAATCCGAATTCCGGATAATCCGAATTCCGGATAATCCGAATTCCGGATAATCCGAATTCCGGATAATCCGAATTCCGGATAATCCGAATTCCGGATAATCCGAATTCCGGATAATCCGAATTCCGGATAATCCGAATTCCGGATAATCCGAATTCCGGATAATCCGAATTCCGGATAATCCGAATTCCGGATAATCCGAATTCCGGATAATCCGAATTCCGGATAATCCGAATTCCGGATAATCCGAATTCCGGATAATCCGAATTCCGGATAATCCGAATTCCGGATAATCCGAATTCCGGATAATCCGAATTCCGGATAATCCGAATTCCGGATAATCCGAATTCCGGATAATCCGAATTCCGGATAATCCGAATTCCGGATAATCCGAATTCCGGATAATCCGAATTCCGGATAATCCGAATTCCGGATAATCCGAATTCCGGATAATCCGAATTCCGGATAATCCGAATTCCGGATAATCCGAATTCCGGATAATCCGAATTCCGGATAATCCGAATTCCGGATAATCCGAATTCCGGATAATCCGAATTCCGGATAATCCGAATTCCGGATAATCCGAATTCCGGATAATCCGAATTCCGGATAATCCGAATTCCGGATAATCCGAATTCCGGATAATCCGAATTCCGGATAATCCGAATTCCGGATAATCCGAATTCCGGATAATCGAATTCCGGATAATCCGAATTCCGGATAATCCGAATTCCGGATAATCCGAATTCCGGATAATCCGAATTCCGGATAATCCGAATTCCGGATAATCCGAATTCCGGATAATCCGAATTCCGGATAATCGAATTCCGGATAATCCGAATTCCGGATAATCCGAATTCCGGATAATCCGAATTCCGGATAATCCGAATTCCGGATAATCCGAATTCCGGATAATCCGAATTCCGGATAATCCGAATTCCGGATAATCCGAATTCCGGATAATCCGAATTCCGGATAATCCGAATTCCGGATAATCCGAATTCCGGATAATCCGAATTCCGGATAATCCGAATTCCGGATAATCCGAATTCCGGATAATCCGAATTCCGGATAATCCGAATTCCGGATAATCCGAATTCCGGATAATCCGAATTCCGGATAATCCGAATTCCGGATAATCCGAATTCCGGATAATCCGAATTCCGGATAATCCGAATTCCGGATAATCCGAATTCCGGATAATCCGAATTCCGGATAATCCGAATTCCGGATAATCCGAATTCCGGATAATCCGAATTCCGGATAATCCGAATTCCGGATAATCCGAATTCCGGATAATCCGAATTCCGGATAATCCGAATTCCGGATAATCCGAATTCCGGATAATCCGAATTCCGGATAATCCGAATTCCGGATAATCCGAATTCCGGATAATCCGAATTCCGGATAATCCGAATTCCGGATAATCCGAATTCCGGATAATCCGAATTCCGGATAATCCGAATTCCGGATAATCCGAATTCCGGATAATCCGAATTCCGGATAATCCGAATTCCGGATAATCCGAATTCCGGATAATCCGAATTCCGGATAATCCGAATTCCGGATAATCCGAATTCCGGATAATCCGAATTCCGGATAATCCGAATTCCGGATAATCCGAATTCCGGATAATCCGAATTCCGGATAATCCGAATTCCGGATAATCCGAATTCCGGATAATCCGAATTCCGGATAATCCGAATTCCGGATAATCCGAATTCCGGATAATCCGAATTCCGGATAATCCGAATTCCGGATAATCCGAATTCCGGATAATCCGAATTCCGGATAATCCGAATTCCGGATAATCCGAATTCCGGATAATCCGAATTCCGGATAATCCGAATTCCGGATAATCCGAATTCCGGATAATCCGAATTCCGGATAATCCGAATTCCGGATAATCCGAATTCCGGATAATCCGAATTCCGGATAATCGAATTCCGGATAATCCGAATTCCGGATAATCCGAATTCCGGATAATCCGAATTCCGGATAATCCGAATTCCGGATAATCCGAATTCCGGATAATCCGAATTCCGGATAATCCGAATTCCGGATAATCGAATTCCGGATAATCGGAATTCCGGATAATCCGAATTCCGGATAATCCGAATTCCGGATAATCCGAATTCCGGATAATCCGAATTCCGGATAATCGGAATTCCGGATAATCGAATTCCGGATAATCGGAATTCCGGATAATCGGAATTCCGGATAATCGAATTCCGGATAATCCGAATTCCGGATAATCCGAATTCCGGATAATCCGAATTCCGGATAATCCGGAATTCCGGATAATCGGAATTCCGGATAATCCGAATTCCGGATAATCGGAATTCCGGATAATCCGAATTCCGGATAATCCGAATTCCGGATAATCGGAATTCCGGATAATCGGAATTCCGGATAATCCGAATTCCGGATAATCCGAATTCCGGATAATCCGAATTCCGGATAATCCGAATTCCGGATAATCCGAATTCCGGATAATCCGAATTCGGATAATCCGAATTCCGGATAATCCGAATTCCGGATAATCCGAATTCGGATAATCCGAATTCCGGATAATCGAATTCGGATAATCCGAATTCGGATAATCCGAATTCCGGATAATCCGAATTCCGGATAATCCGGAATTCGGATAATCCGAATTCCGATAATCCGAATTCCGGATAATCCGAATTCCGGATAATCCGAATTCCGGATAATCCGAATTCCGGATATCCGAATTCCGGATAATCGGAATTCCGGATAATCCGAATTCCGGATAATCGAATCCGGATAATCCGAATTCCGGATAATCCGAATTCGGATAATCGGAATTCCGGATAATCCGAATTCCGGATAATCGGAATTCGGATAATCCGAATTCCGGATAATCCGAATCCGGATAATCCGAATTCGGATACTCGAATTCCGAGATAATCCCGAATTCCGGATAATCCGAATTCCGGATAATCCGAATTCGGATAATCCGAATTCCGGATGAATCCGGGGCCGGAAAATTCGGATAATCGGAATTCCGGATATCCGAATTCCGGATAATCCGAATTCCGGATAATCCGAATTCCGGATAATCCGAATTCGGATAATCCGAATTCCGGATAATCGAATTCCGGATAATCGGAATTCCGGATAATCGGAATTCCGGATAATCGGAATCCGGATAATCGGAATTCCGGATAATCGG